TTCAGTTACATTTGGGTGGGAGGCGCTTTATCACTTAGAATAAGAGCTCGAATGAGGTAATTTCTTATCTTTCAAGCTCGTTTAATACATAAGTGCAAGGAACCATTCGCTTCTTAAGTTATTCTTAAAATACATATATTTCTTCAGGTGATTAATATTGCTAGTGATACTAAATCTCCAAACTAATTCACTTGTTTCCTTAATACTGCTCAAGCTTTCTAATTATTTTTCGTTCTTCAATCGCGACCATAAAATCCCAATTATTACAAAATTTCTAAACTGTTGAATTCCATTTATTTTTCTTTAAATACGAATTTTTCACGAAGTAAAATATTAATGAAAGTGTTAGTTGCGCTAAAGTGAAATAAATCCATTGGAAGCACCTCTGAACAATTAAGAATTTATTGTTCCATTTTTTTCCGGACAAAATGATGAATACTTTTGTTCATGTGTACCTTATATGTCGGATAAACTAGAGGAACCGAGGATTACTACCCGCTATTATATTCAAAAGAGTTGAGCTATATTCGAAATAGTGAATTAAGACAAGATTCCATTTTCCCCTAAGTAGATTTCTAATGAATTCTGAAGACTGAATGGAGTTATGTAAAGCACTTGTGTATATATTAATGGTAGCACGACAAATGCTCAATACTGAAAAGTTACGTTTAGAATGTCAGAGAGATCACAAAGTTCACCCCATGGAAAGTACCGTCAGACAACAAGGGGTATCTTGACGTATATATGTACGCACATCTTCAAGAATTTTTGATTCGATATACATACAGTATGCGACAAAACTATGTATACCCCATGAAAGTTGAAAAGAAAATTATTGGGGTATGTTTTCCCAGGAGTATTTCAATTTATTAAAAATCTCGGCTTTATTTGAACGGCAAGAAGATCGGTCAAGCTTGTCATCCAAATATTGTCATAAGTGCTCAATGGGGTTTAAGTCGATTTTTGTTCGAAGTATTCTTTTGCAACCCGACTTGTATGCTTAGGGTCGTTGTCCTGCTGGTATATGAAGTTATCCTGTATGCCCATTTTTAGCGTAGCTGGCTCCAAATCGGTACTTAAGATTTGGACATAAGACTCTCCCGTCATTTTACCTTCGGTCATTACGAGATTTGAGAGACCATTGTAGCTAAAACAACCCCAAATCAATACAAAACTTTTATGGTGCTTTGAACGCATTTACTCTGAAGCTTCTCGTGGCTCTTTCGCCAAACTTTTTGCCGTCCTTTAGTATTTTTAAATTCAAATTTGCTTTAATCACTCCAAATTACTTTTTTCCAAAAATTTGGTGGCAGTTTGTAACACTTTTTTGCAAACTTCAATCGTGCCTTTAAATTTTTCTTGCTTATGAACGGTTTTTTAATCTTGTAGTAGCTGGAATATCCGTCTTCTCGAATTCTTCGTTGAACTGCTCGCTCGGAAACATCTATTTGAAGGCTCTGTTTAATGAATTGGGCTGATACAGTCGGATCTTTTTTCACTTCTCTCACTATTTTTGTCTCTTCGCGCACTGTAGTTACTCTAGGGCGGCCTTTTAAAATGTTTAGTTCCAATTTTTCCGTATCCCATTCCATCTAAATGATCATGAACAATCAATTTTCGCAGGTCAACGCTTATTTCTGCAGATATTGGCATTTCACTAAATAAAATCTTTATATTATTTACCCAAACACTTTTATCGAGTATAAAATCACGAAATTTTATCTTTGTCGAGTTTATTTCTAAATATTCGCAAAAACTATTTACACAAAGAAGCACTACGCACAAATATTACCACGGTATACATAATTTTGTTGCCTGCAAAGTTCAACTGATCATCAACAAGTGCACATTCTGCAAGCAAAATAAAAGCTAACGGTAAATATCATACCGTTATTATTTGTCAACTTACAGTGTGCACTTACCGTATGTACAAATTTTTAATCGTTGAACTTTTGAAAAAAATATTCCATGAACAATATAAAATGTGCTGGGGTATACATAGTTTTGTCGGATACAGTATACCGTAGTTACCGTGTGATAATAAACCAACAAGGTAAATCAAATAGACGGAAATAAATAAATAGAGATAAAAACAGACGTTATGTCACTTCACTTTTTGCATTGAATTCAATTGTGTTGTTGTTTTCACATACATAGAGATTTACATCTTTCCCAATTGAACAGAAAAGTGACGAAATAAATACCGAAAATTATGCGAAAAAGTTATCCTTATTCAAAAATACCCGGTACTTTATTTATTACAACATTTCACGATTATGTTAAATTATAGAGAAACAACAACTGAGATTATTTGAACTGCATTTTAGAATTATTTTATAGCCATATTAACTAACTATATGTGATTCAAAGAATTTCTGTTTTTTTGCAGCTTAGATCGCAATACACTGTTATTTATAAATGACTACCAGTTTCCATTGAAGTACCGTTAAGAAATGTCTAATTCCGTTATCTTATTTAAGTAATTGTGCGATACGAGTATATTATATGTGTATATAGAAGATACTCGTAGATAATGCATTTAATATTTAACAAGTGGTGCAATTTCAGTGGAAGTGCATCGAGCGTCGACGCTAATTCTTGACACATTTTCTTTTCACTAATTTTATTAAAAATTATTATTATAAATATTATTATCGTGCAAGCTTGTGATTAAGATACAATTCATTAAGTACTCAAAACAATAAGTAAAACAATATTCATAATTTTAACACAATGCTCAAATATGACAAATACATTAAATGCCATTTTTATCAATGCCTGAACAGTTCAGGCTGAAAAGTTCTTATAATTCTAAACAAAAAAAATGAAATTCGAACTCCTAATCTATCTGCTTCGAAAAAACTTAAATTTGAGTAAAATTATATGGTATATATGTATATACATATGTTCTCAAAAATAACTATAATATGTACTATATGTAGAAATTTCATTATATTTCTTTACATTATTTCGACAAAGTTAAGACGATTTCAAGGTAGGGAGAAAATATTTGTAAGGCATGTACATATTTTCATATAAAAACCAGGACAACTAACTACAAAATACTTGGATTTAACTAAGTCGACTTTCGTCGAACACCAATTTTTTTCTATACCCTTGTATTTTTTCTTTAACATTTTTAAAGTTCATTATTAAATTCGGAGTAAAGGTTGGAAATGATAATTTTATTTTACTTTATTTTAGTTTTTATATATCGAAAATTTCTAGTTGAGTCGTCCTAAGGGTAATATGTTTGAAGCATAAGTTATATTTTAATTTTCGTAGTATAAAAATTAGTGCTCAATATAAAATGTGGACTTAAATTTGCGGTTATTTTAATCAAACCAGAATTAGTAGTGATTTTTATAATGTTATATTAATCCGAAAGCACAATTTTAATTAAATTGCTACTACAAATAGATCAGTTTTTCGCATTGAAGCATATTCCAACTTGCACTGCTTTTAATATGCACATATGTAACTATATACATATATGTACGGCAAAATAGTGTTTAAGCACTAATAAATATTAAGCATATCCCCTTTCTGAAAGTATACACTGACCACTCATGAACTTTAATGCTTTTATATATTCAGCTGATGTAGGCTTATCGCACGGCTGAAAGAGAATTCCCTAAAGTCCAACAACCACTGAACTTATTAAACATTTCACTGTGATAGCCACGAAAAGTTTGGCACAACAACAAACCGACTCCAATGCCGTTAAAAACGTCTCCAAAGGAAGACGCAATTAATGGAAGGATTTGTGTTAAGGAACTCCACGGATATAAAGAAGGTAAATTACGGTATTGCTGTATCCTCAAGAACTGAGAGAAGATGCATAGTCCAGCGAAAGCCTCTTGTTTCAAAAAAATTAAACGCTTACTCTCGCAAGAGAGCACAGTGGGAACCAGTCAGTTTTTGGAAGCCAATGATTCGAAATTTTAAAGGGATCAATATGAACAGCATACTTGAGAACCATGTAATACCTTTCTCTGAGGACAATTAGAATTTAAAGTGGATTTTATGCGAGATAACGATCGAAAACATAATTCACGTCTCGTGAAGAGTTCCTTAGAAAACAAAAAAAAAAAAGAAAAGAAATATGTTTTGAAGTGGCTAGCTTAGTCTACTAATCTCAATTCAATAAAAATTCGAAAACCGAAGAACCTAGAAGAAGGAAAAAAGACTTGCAATGTAATTCGAAGAAACGATGCAATATTTTAGTTGAATTAAGTAGCAAATATACATAAGTTATAGAAAATAGGGTATTTTCAAGGTAGGTAGTTTAAAACTTTTCACCTAATTATCGAAATAAAATGGATTTTCAGATTGATTCAAAACCAGTGCGCTAAATTTGTGACCATCACTGCAATATACCCTTTGTTTACCAAACAATGGGAGAATGTTCACCTCAACCCTATCGCTGATGGCACGCGAATAAACGGGCTCCAACCAAATGCCTGCAATCGCAAACGATAACCTCGTCTTGCTCCCCGAGAGCTGAAATTACAAGAATGCAGATAAGCATGCAAGTCTTTCCGAATGATTTTTGACTTCGCAACAACACAGAGATATATACAAAGTTAGCGGCGATCCTACCAACACTAATCGGACACAATACTCTAATAGTATAAAATGCTCCGCTCCATTCATGATAACAAATACTCACAGTTGATTTCGTTGCGATTCCGCTTGACCAATTTTGCGTTTCTTTACTCTTTATAGTGTTCCTTTGTGACGGTTGTGATAGCGCAAAAGCAAGAGCACTAATCGATAGATGTTGACGACGCCACTCCAAAGCTTTGTTATTGTGTGCGTCTCATAATCTCAAAGTGCGGTGCAATGCCGTGAGAAATCTGACATTCTTTTTTGTTAAATAGGTTTTTATGGTCATCGGATAGCCCATCACTGCTAAACAAGCCTTTAGATTAGTTGAGCGCGCTAATGATCGAGTAGTGGCGAAGGCAGCGGCTCACAGAGGCATTTGAATGTCGCTTTAACGCTTAGCTATGCGACATTTGTGCTTTAGTCGGCTGGCGTAACTGCTTCAAATCGGACCGTCTGACTTAAAACGGATATTTCGTCGGTACAACCATTCAGTACAACCGTTTAGTGCAGTCGGTAGTGAAAGCGTTCGAATGAACTGCCTTATTGTTGGGTTCATATAGTAAATGTGCCAAACTTGAACTTCAAAAGTGTGGAGAACAGCTGTTCGCTTGTCGCTTTCAGCTAACTTTACTGGAAAAACCAGTTTTTGAATTTTTCAACTCGGATCACGGCGATCGTAACCGTACCAACTCCGAAGTATGTACGTATATACAATTGGTGTTGTGAACTACCAGTGCTTTATTTTTACTTCTTTATTGTCGTATTCTCTTTCTTTTAATATTGGACAGTCTTGTCTTGAAGTTGCTTATCCAGTTTTGATGTTCCGCGTTGGTTTTAATCAGGTGCAATACAGTTCACATATATACATATGTACATTTTGATTTCAATAATAGAAAAACAATAATGAATTTGTGCTCAACGACCCAAACAACTGATAAACTTTTCCAAATATATTAAAATTTTACAGATGTATGAGTAGATGTATGATTGAGACTATCTACTTAATCGTAACCGATTTTACCAAATGCGGCTGTTATAATAAGTCATTATATCGCTATCAGAGTTCGCGTTGACAAGTGAGCATTTCTCCAAGGAATTCGACTATGGCGATCATCCCTTAATTTGAATAATTCAGTTTAATGCATGTATGTCATATACCTATTATATACATATGTATTTAGTAGATATCAAACGTTTTAAAATTACAACAAAGCATTTAGATCCCTCAGATCCCGTTCCGAAACGATTCAGTGGACTTGTGGTTTCAAACACCCCCAAATTATGTAATATTTTTAAGACGCACCACATGAAGAGCCTTTCAGAGTTTTCTAAAATCTATATATATAAAAGAAAGTTGTTGTTAGTTACACCATTTATAATTCAAGAACGGCTGAACCGATTTGGTTGAAAATTGGTGGGGAGTAATCAGGGTAAGGACATAGGCTACTTTTCATTTATTTATGTTAGAATCCAATACAAAAACTATATTTCAAATCAAAAGCATTTGTTAAAAATTCAAGTTTGTAGAAATCATTTGAATATCTGCTGACAATTTTAAGCAGATTCTTCATAAAAAATAATTAAATGCAACCAAATATGCAGTGAAATAGGTTATAACTGTCTCAGTAATCAGTTATTGAGTATGTATTGTACCACGTGCATACCAAAATACTGATGTCATAACCTTTCAAGTCGTCTTTTTCGTCTTTCCACACCTAAGAACCGGTTCATCATGTGCAGCAGGAATAAAGGGATGTTCAACTTATTCCAGTGTGAGAGCGCCTCAAAATAAGCGTTTTTTATAACATTTTCCATTATGGCCAGATCGAACAAAATAACAATTTTTGGGAATTTTAAATTAAAACACCCAACATTTAGTACGAATAACAATTACTATATAGTGGTTATTTATTATATGGATAAACTATTTAAATCTTTTTAAAGTAAATTAGAACAACTGACTTTTGACCTTTGAATATCCAATAAAAGGATTTAAGCTTATTAGCTCTCAATCATTAAATGTTTTTAATCATTTTCCATTGATAATAATACTATGATGCTTCAAATTACAAAACGTTTCATCAAATACCTTTAAATTTCACAAATTTATTTAATTTTCGTTGTTTTACATTTTTTATAAGTGGTCTTGAACGATGCAACAAATCCCTCCATTTACATATTTTTTTGGTAAGATTTCAATCTGACCATCGCTCGTTTCCAATTGATAAACGTCAAAACCTACTGAACTCGATTAGCTGTCAAAGTTCAGTAGGTTTTGACATTTAACAGTTGCTCTCTCACTGGAAGGAGTTAAACATCTCTTTATCTCTGATGTGCAGTCCACTAGAGTAACTGTCGATTGGACTCCAGTGGGATATGATGGAGCTATGTTTCTATCACCGAAAAAAATTCGGCTTCATTCTGATTAGAGAGCACTCAAGCACTTCTCAGAATCAATTATTCGTTGTTATTGTTGGATTATGAACTTACGAAGCACCCACTTTGCAAAGAGCTCTCACCTCTTTAAGCTTAGCAAATATCTTTTCATCGGTGGATTTCTCTGAGCCCAAATTCAACAGTATTTTCCTCCAAAAAGCAATGATTAACACTCGAAATGCTCTATGATCCATTTTTTTGTAAACTAACACAAGTTGCTTCACAGAAATGATACATCTCATTAACTAATAATTATAATCCAACTAATAGAAATCATATAGATGGTAGTAGTAGTATTGTCTATATATCAGCCACAGTGAAGCGTGGACGAGTCCTCTAGTTTTACATAAAATAAAAACGAACTCTACAAATATACTCGAAGTTTAACAAAGTTGTGGTCTAACTACTACGTATTCATGGATACATGATAAATACTCTGGATTTTTATTACCCCTATTAATATTTGATAAATGATAAATAGAATAGATTTCATAGATATTGTTTGGGAGCATTCTTTTACCCTCAACAGGGTATATTAAGTTTGTCACGAAGTTTGTAACACCCAGAAGGAAGGGTCGGATACCTTATAAAGTATATATATAAATTATCAGTATGTTGAGCTGAGTCGATTTAGCCATGTCCGTCTGTCCGTCTGTCAATATATATACGAACTAGTCCCTCAGTTTTAAGATATCGTTTTGAAATTTTGCAAACGACATTTTCTCTTCAAGAAGATGCTCCTTTGTGGAACTGCCGATATCGGACCATTATAACATATAGCTGCCATACAAACTGAATGATCGGAATCAAGTTCTTGTATGGAAAACTTTCACATTTGACAAGATATATTCACGAAATTTGGTATATTGTTCAGATCGGTTAACTATAGCATATAGCTGCCATTCAAACTGAATGATCGAAATCAAATGCTTGCATGGAGAACTTTCTCATTTGACGATATATCTTATCTGCTTAGGGTAACAATATAATCTCCAAAAAAATTATTCAGAACGAATTACTATAACATATAGCTTCCATACAAACTGAACACATAGTTACACAGAAATGCACCTATGAAGGATATTTGGCTTCTCTGCAACCGAAGTTAACGTTTTTTATTGTTTTTAAATAATAACGGTTTTCGTGGAATTGTATATAAGTTTTACTAACGAGATTGTCGAAATAGTTCACTGAAATAGAATTAAGCAATTTGCTGGAATTATAAATAGAATAATATGATACATTGCTTCAGTTTCGTTGATTTATACTCCAAACTAAAATTAATATTATACAAAAACAAATTTATTTACATGTATGTTGTTTACATAATTTGAGGGCTTTTGACGTCAATGCAATTGTATTCTCAAGAAGGTCGCTTAGATTGATAACAGCCGATTTTATGCACATATTATATAAACAAAAGAAACAACTGCAATGTGTTTGATACAAAAACTACTGATAATGACCTAATTGGAAAACTCTAACGCTTTAATCGGGATTTAAAAGTATTTTAAATGTTCACTTCGTGTACGAAAATGTTCACTATGCGTAGGTACAATGATCAAAGTAAAATTTGGGATATAAGTAAAAATAAATCTAAAATTTCATAACATGACTCAGAGATTGTGCGCCGGACTCGGCAATTTTTGTTAGTTATTTTCATCACCCAGACTAAATAAAATCAGGAATTGGCATGCTTTTGAGTTGTCATACCCTTAACGTCTAACAGTAATGCTGTAATGACTTAAAAGAGTAAATTGAACCATTTTCGCTAGTAAAATTTAATACGGTTTAATGCTAACTTGCCCTTTCCTTCGGGTATTCCGATATATTTCGATGGTTGCATTATTTGTAACAAGTGTGAATATTCTTCCGCTCCGGTTTGGAGACCGCTTTTGATGTGTTGACTAAGTTCACCACAAAACTTGAACTAATCTAGAGCTCATCTTAAGCGCTTGCGTCACATAAACTGCATCCGTTCTCGTTCATAGACTGAAAAAAGTTTTGTATTTGTATCAGTTTCAATTCATATTCACAAACATATATCATTAAATTATTTATATGTAAATATACATAGATACCTAAACACATAAGAATTAATTACTCTTAGTTAGTTAATTCAATACAATTTTATAAAACCCACTTCTAATCGTGATACTTTTCTAATACTAGTACTGTGTCAAAATTAGCATAAAGCGGCCAGAAAGGAAATTAAATTAGTGTCTTAATTAACGTCTTTGATATCTGGTCCAGCCTTTTAATAGGAAAGTATAATTGATTTAAATCGGTTTTTGTTTAATAAATGCGATATGAATATAATTTATAGAAACACTTGTGCGGTTAAATATGAAACTAGAATGAATTATTAGAGTTTATGATGTCTCCGACAGCGATTTCAAGGCTGTTAAGAAGGAGATGTAGCGGCCGCAATGGCGAAACTTTCAGTAGCGAATCGGTCCTGACCAACTTCAGCACTTTAAGCAATTTGAAGAATCTAATGCAATCCTGAAGAAATTTGCAATTCTGGGGTGCTTGAATTAAAATCCTATAGGTACTCATAACTAGAAATTGTAGCGAATAAAGTATACTAAGTAGTGTGATAAAATCCCTCCAATCGAGTTTGTGCAACTTTTCCAGCTTTTTGTTGTTTTTGATAACAATAATATTTACTTTTAAACTAAGAACGTCTACAAATTTAATGAAAAAGTACTTACACATAATCTCAGATAAAACAACCTTATGTCAGCAGTGTTCTAACTGTACAAATATAAATATGTATGTATGTAGGTATATTTACAGTTAACTATTTTATATTTCCCATGCAAATATTTGCATTTAATATGCGCATTCTCTTAGTCGCTGAAGTAACAAAGTGCAAACTTATAAATGTGTTGACTATTATAGCTCAGATAACTTGACCTCTATCAACGTTACGTTGTGAAGCGCTGATAACAAATAAGCAGATTGGTGAATGCTAGTATTTGCCACGCTTGCTTTGACTGCGTTGACATGAGGACTCTTTTGTTGCCAAACCCCGTTTTTTTTTTTTGTAAAGAGGACGACGGAAAAAGACAAAAGAACCGTGTCGCTTCTGCTTGTGCGGCTCGGTTTCTGTTCTTATGCGTAACAGTTCATTACAATCTATCTATGCAATTTGGCATTCCTTTACATAATGAAATTCTTTCCATGGTTGCGATTGTGCTCGGCTTCAAATTAATATTAATAGTTTATTTGAAATTTCAATACTCTTGCAACCAGTTGTTA